TTTTTTTCTGTACATAGAGCCTGCTCTCTGTATAGAGTACTTGGAGTTGTGGATTCAGACAGCAGTTAATTTTCACACAATAGAAACTGAAGTACTTTGTATGTTTTTAAAATGAAATAAATACAAATCAAATTCTTCTATATACATGTATAGGATTTAAATGGTGTCAAGACTTTTGTGCTCAACTTAAGCAACATATATGCTATTTGTGACATTTCTACTGTGGTAATATTTTCAGTAAAATACTTTTTCATTAAAGTCTTTTGCCTTTGTATATTACTTGTTTATTCTCTTTTTAGAATCTGCAACTGAGATAACTTCCCCAGAAAACAGAGAAAAATATACTTACAAACGCATAGGAAATGAATGCATATCGTATTTATTCTGAACAACATTAATTGAATAATTGTATCAATCAGCACGTGAATGCAATGGGCAGTCAGAAGTGCTAAATCAGAAATCTAAAAGTAATGTCAACAATCGTTCACACCTAGTCATGTGAGTATGGAGATGGTGTATCAAATAGATGAACTACATTTAAAACTATTCAATTCACCTTTATTTGTATAGCGCTTTTACAATGTAGATTGTGTCAAAGCAGCTTCACATAGAAGATCATAGTACATTAAAGAGACTGCTGGACCTCAGCGAAGACTCGTCTGTGCCTGAAACGTCTCATGCTCTCCACTCCTCCATGACCACTACAGCAACTGCTCAGAATACAGCCTGGTTCTGGATATGGAAACCTTGGGATGATTTTGCTGCTGGTCTTGGATTGAATCCGTGGGGCTGCATAGTCTGAGGGCCTCAGGATGAGTATCTCCAGGTGGAAATAAACGAAAAATAAAGAGAATAATTAGCGTAGCTGCAGTTCATAATGTATGCAAACAAGAGGAAGAAACCTGTGAGAAGCACCACAGTGTATGCTTTACTAAACAGACAGGTCTTTAATCTAGTTTTGAATTGGGAGAGCGTATCTGCACCTCGGACTTTATCAGGAAGGCTATTCCAGAGTTTAGGAGCCATAAGCGAGAAGGCTCGACCTCCTTTACTTACTTTGCTATTCTAGGTACTACCAGAAGCCCTGAGTTTTGAGATCTTAAAGAGCGAGTTGGATTGTAGTGAGACAGAAGGTTGGTTAGATAAACAGGAGCTAGATTATTTAGAGCTTTATAGGTGAGAAGTAATATTTTAAATTCAATACGAAACTGAACAGGCAGCCAGTGTAAGGAGGATAACATTAGGGTGATATGATCATATTTTCTAATCCAGGTAAGAACTCTGGCTGCTGCATTTTGTACTAGCTGAAGTTTGTTAATAGAGGATGCTGGGTAGCCAGCAAATAGAGCATTACAGTTATCCAGCCTAGAGGTCATAAAAGCATGGACTAGCTTTTCTGCATCTGAGATGGATAGCATATTTCGTAATCTAGCGATATTTCTCAGATAAAAGAAGGCAGTTTTTGTGACATGTGGTATATGATTTTCAAAATTGCTGGCTAATATGACACCCAGATCTTTTATAGTAGAGCTAACGCTAACTTTGTATCCCTCTAATTGTAGATTGAGTTGCGAGATCTGCTGTGTACAAGATTTAGGCCCAATAAGTAATAATTCTGTTTTGTCGGAGTTTAAGAGAAGAAAATTGTTGGTCATCCAGTCTTTAACATCTCTAATACACTCAGTTAGTTTAGAAAGTTCAGACGTCTCGTCAGGTTTAGTGGAAATATATAATTGAGTATCATCTGCATAGCAGTGAAAGCTGATCCCATGTCTTCTAATAATGTCTCCCAGTTGTAGCATGTAAATTGTAAACAGTAAAGGGCCTAAAACTGATCCTTGAGGAACCCCATACTTTACTGGGCTGACTTGTGAAGGCTGTCCATTAATATTCACAAACTGGTAACGGTCAGTTAAGTATGACTTAAACCATTGTAGAGCCTGTCCCTGGACACCTGTAGACTTTAAGCGATTTATGAGGATATTGTGGTCAATGGTGTCAAATGCCGCATTAAGATCGAGTAGAACTAATAGCAAGACGCACCCTTGGTCAGCAGCTAAGAGTAAATCATTGGTTATTTTCACTAATGCGGTTTCTGTACTGTGATGAGCCCTGAAACCTGACTGAAACACTTTAACTTGCCTCAGATGAGTGAGTTACAGCGCGGAGCACACCGAGCAGGGCCCATTGTTTTTCGGAGCCGTGTTCGCTTCATCTCGAGATCGCGAATCTGGGACTCCACTGCTTCTAGCTCCAGCTCCAATGCCTTCATCTATGCTTCTCCTGCACTCAAGGACAGACACACAAGCAACATCGTACAGGGTAAAGAGCAAAGCCAGTAAGTAAATGAATATGAGTGAAAGAAAGAGGTCGTTTTGGTACGGTTTGGTTTGGTCCGCTTTTATGGCCGTTTCCACTGTCAAATGACATACCAAAAAAACCGTACCGTATCACTTTTTGGCACCCTTTCAAAAGGGTACCAAACACGAAAAGGGGTACCAAAAGGTGGAGCTAGACGCGAAGCTGAAAGCTATTGGTTTACAGAGATACGTCATTCGCTTACGCAACAAGCCGAAAATGAAAACAAAAGAGTCACCCTGTTTAAAATACACAGCCGAGAGATCTTTACAGCTTAAATAAAATATATATATATACATATAATAATGAGCCATGGTCGACCCAGGCTCAAACAAACCTTGTCGTTGTCTTAATGAACAGTCACGAAACCAAAAAGAAGAGCAGATTTACCCTGTGCCCCGTAGTTTTTACGAGCCAGTCTAAAGTGCAAGCAGTTATGCTTTCTTGCTTGAGCTCGCCGCACGTCTATATCTGACATAACAAACTTCTTGAGCTGATGATAGTAACCTGCGCTTGATTTTTGACGTGCTTTTGAAACCTGATCCTGTCAGACACTGACAAACCTGAGAGTGAAGCGCGAAAAAAAAAAACAGAAGCCAGAAAAAAAGGAGCACGTTATTTCTTCAGCAAACGTGAACAAACGGCCATGTTTAGCTATTATCATCACCTTTTGGACTATTATAAACTTAGTATGATGGAATGACTCTCTAACAGAGGCTACTGCTGAAGATTACAGACACAGATGAGACGTTTTCACTGACTGTGGGCTATGTTGCATGTTGTTTATGAACCTAAATAAGGACTAAATGTCTGTTGTGTGTAAATCTTCTGTTGTTGGTAACATCGGAGAATGTAGGGGTCTGTATGTGTTCATATATGTTGCATGTATATATTTATTTTATATAATGTCAGACGTTACAGTAGGCTATTTTGCACTGTCATTGATCTGCAGTTATAATTAACTCCTGTTCATAGAAAAGTTATTAATAAACATTCATAAACAAGTATGTGTATAAAAAGCATTTGTTTTGTTAGAAGTGCTTCTCATATGATATGTTACCAGGCCCACCAAAAGGGTACCCTAGGCAGTTTAAACGCAAGCCTGATAAAGGTGACTTGACCAAACCGAACCGTACCGTACTGTAACAGTCAGTGGAAACGAGCCATTAGACTGGGGTTCCAGTGGCGAGCCATATTGCCATTTCCAACACTCCAGCATGTAAACAAACAGTGCCCTCAAGTGTCCGTTTAAGGACACTACAGCAGGTGACTGTGGCAGGGGATTAAAATAAACTTTGAGTTAGTCACACTGCTTTTAAAATCACTGAAATGATCACTGTTCGATAGAGAATATCTTATAAGATCTTCTTATGTGTTTTTAAAGATGTTACAAAATTTGATCTTTTTTTCAAGAGTTCAAACTTAGACATTGTTTGACAAATGTTAGCAGGTTTGGCATGCTGTCCCAGGAGAGAACCCTGAGCTCGGAGATAGTTGAGCCCAGGGCTCCCACCAGGTCCATAAAGCATGTGAGGGGAGTACGAGATCAGGTGGTTCTCGAGAGCTCCCCTATAGTAAAGGAGGAGAAAGGGGTGGATGGGGGGTTTCTTCGGAAAACGAAGATAAGGGAGTAAATCTAGCTAGGCTACTTATAGTGAGTTAGAATAGATCTGATTGGCTAACTAATGAGTGTAGATGGGAGACCAGCTGTAGTCAATCATATCACGTGCTCCTCTTGAAATTAGTTTGAAAAACTTCACTTATTCATTCATTCATTTTCTTGTCGTCTTGGTCCCTTTATTAATCCGGGGTCGCCACAGCGGAATGAACCGCCAACTTATCCAGCAAGTTTTTTACGCAGCGGATGCCCTTACAGCCACAACCCTTCTCTGGGAAACACACACACACACACACACACACACACACACACACTACGGACAATTTAGCCTACCCAATTCAGCTGTACCGCATGTCTTTGGACTGTGGGGGAAACCGGAGCACCCGGAGGAAACCCACGGGAACACAGGGAGAACATGCAAACTCCACACTGAAACGCCAACTGAGCCGAGGTTCAAACCAGCAACCCAGCAACCTTCTTGCTGTGAGGGGACAGCAATACCTACTGCGCCACTGCCTCGCCCCAAGTTTACTATTTCAGTTACATTTAAATTACACTGATATCAACCGAGTAAAATTTGTAAAGGCAAATTATCCTTATTATTTAGCACTCAATCAAATATTAAATACAATTGCATTTTTAAAAGTCAATATTTATATCTTAAAAAATAATTGTCATGCTTTATCATGCTTAATGCATATGTTATTTGATCAGAAATGTTGTTGTGAGGATCTTTAGTTTTATGGCAAGCCATTTTGACATTTAGTCAATAACCCATACTAGTACCTATTTACATGCTACTAGTGCTTATTTTATTCTAGTATCTTTTCCATTAAGTACTAAGATGTATTCATTAGATAGTAGTGCACATTCTTTAAATATTAGTGCTTTTTAAAAAATATACTAGAATCTTAAAAATAAGCACAAGCAACACGAAAATACTAGTATGGGCTATAGGTTAAATGACAAAACGGCTTGCCATATTAGTTCAGAATGTTGTGAGAGCAGGAAGAAGAAAGGAAGGGAGGAGACATCTTGAGAATTTACAAATGTAGACTGAAGACTCGCTCATTATCAGGACAAACACACAGATCTTCAAACAGGACTGAGGTTTGTCTCCTTCACTGCATGAGTTTTATTAGTTTTAGTCTGCACTGAAATTGCAGATGCACGGGTGATTTACTATTTATGTGAATAAATTTGAACGCAAAACAAAACCGAAACTAAACACAGCTCAGCGAAAAGTTTTTAAAAAGTCTGATTTTAAATGAAACTTCATATGAAATCATCAAACAAATTCTGAATGGTGCTTTGTGTGTCCAGACTGTCACACTTGTTGTGTTTTAAAGGTGCTATTATTAAGAGCCTTTCTGTTTTTTTCAGTGTAGCTGTAAATATCTCAAAAAGGTGTTTCTCCCCTGCAGAAAACAAACTGCGTCACATATTTCTGTCATCAGTGAACGGCTAGAAAAGACCCAAACTCACATTAGACAGACAACTCAACATTTTCTCCAGTGTAGCAAAGTCATATCACCATTACCACTATGTGCTTAATGCTTTATTAATTTAAATTTTAATTGTTAGTTCATTTCATGCACCTATTGTTTTTTAACACTTATAAAATAACCATTTAAATGAATAATATGTATGAATAATATTACTAGATCAACCATATATCTTGATCTATGTTTAAAAAGTTTCAGAAACTATCACAACAAACTTTAAATGCTTATTTCCATTAAAGATCTCCTATTAACCCCTTTTACTAGATATAAGATAAGTCTTTAGTGTCTCCAGAAAATGTCTATAAAGTTTCAACTAAAAGTAACTAAAACAAAAATCAGATTTTATAGCCTGCTGAATAAGTGAATTCTGGGGTTAGATGAATTTGTAGTTGTTTTTGTTGCATATGTCTTTGATTGAAAATGATCAGGTGCTCCCCACCCACTGTTTTCATGTGCGTCAGCTTGCAGGTCAGATAAACAGTAGTGAAAGTTTGAATCATTTCACTGACTCAGACCTTTGATTCTTGTTCATCGTGATGAGCAAATCTTTTTTTGAGTCATTGCTTTAATTTTGTTCAATTTGCCAAAACATGATTATAATGTTATGAGTTGCTTCCAAACACTTCCAAAAATATCACAAATGTTGAACCCACTACAAACAAGTCAAAACTAGATTTAATTTAACAATATAACTGTTTGTGGTTCACCTTAGTCAAGGGACAGACACAGAGCTCCAGTGCAGACCATTTTAATGAGCCGTGACGTTGTCAGAGACACAATTTACAAACCCTCCCGGGTGATGTTAATTAAATTCAATTCAGCTTTATTTGTATAGCGCTTTTACAATGTAGATTGTGTCAAAGCAGCTTCACATAAATGGTCATAGTAACTGGAACAGTGTAGTTCAGTTTTTAGTGTTTAAGTTCAGTTCAGTTTAGCTCGGTTCAGTGTGATTTAAAATCATTACTGAGAGTCCAAACACTGAAGAGCAAATTACCAATCTACCAATCCTGAACCATGCAAGCCAGTGGCGACAGCGGAGAGGAAAAAAAACTTCACCTGATAGGAGTGAAGAAAAAAAACCTTGAGGGAACCAGACTCAGTTGGGCACGATCATTTTAATTTCTCCGCTGGCCAAAAGTCTTGTGCAGAGCTTCAGTCACCGCAGTGGAGGCTGAAAGATGTTAACACAACAAATTGTGAGAGAGCACAATCATACACTTCATACAACAGCACAGCGAGAGCACACACTAGGCAGCTGAAGAAAGCACATCAGTGAACATGCTTGTTCAGGACTACATTACCCAGAATACATTTCACACTCTTACAACACGATGCGGTGGGCTTCAAAGCCCTTGGGATTTGGTTCCTATTTTAACATCAGAAAACAGTAGATAAGGAGACTTGTGTTTCTATAGCTGCGTCTCAAATGGCACTGTATGCACTATGTACTTCTGCACTTACACACACAACAGCATAGTATATGTATGTAGTGTCACCCCAAATGGAGCACTAATCTTTTTTTACTAAGCAACAATTCAAACCGTTTCCCTGATGACGTTTGACGGTTGGCAAATTAGTAAAAGAAATTACCAAAATATCAAATAACACCTGTCTTTAGTATAACCGCATTCACCATCAGGAGGCGCTATAATCACTCTTGTAGGAGAATATTGCTTTTACTATCCAAAATAAATAAAGTTATACAACATGTGCAACCGATAGCTCCGCCTAGGGGCGTTGATAGGGGCGAAAGGGAAAAGCCCCCCCCCCCCCCCCTCCCCTTCTCATTCTGTTATGAGCCACATCAAACCTCTTGAGCCTCCGATCTCCTCCTGATTTGCAGTTTCAGTTTTTTAAAAATGTCATTTTCTGCATGTCTTCAAATCTGAAAATATGATTTAGTTCATTGTGTAAGTTGATATCCAATGTGATACAAAGCTACAAACAAGTTCATTTGGACGGAGTGATTACTGAGGTGTAGTGTTTTTCATTATACGGGAATTTCTAAATTTCTAAAAAAAAAACTTGCAAAATACTGATATTAAATAGGCTACTATTTTTGATATGTAGTAACAATTATATAAACAATAGTACAAAAGCTGAAGATCTATATGCTAGAAATATGTCTACTTTAAATTTCTTTTATTTTCATAAGAAAGTCGGATCCCATTTTATATCAAGTGGCCTTAACTAATATGTACTTACACAGGAAATAAGAGTTTGTTACAATGTACTTATTGTGTAAATACATGTATTTATTGTGTATTTATGCTTGATTAAATACCTGTATGTAATTACATCTGTAATAAACTTCTGTAATTACATTTGTAAATACACTGTTGACCATCCCTTATACCTTAACCCACCCTTAAACCTACCCATACCACCAAACCTGTCCATAACCCTACCCCTATCCCAACTCAAGAGCACCACAAGTGTTCTCAAACACATTATGAACACAGTAAGAACATTGTATTTATTTTTTGATGCAAGTACATAGTAGTTAAGGCCACTTAATACAAAGTGGGACCGAAAGTCGATTTATAATCTGATGCTAACTGACATAGCATGTTACAGTAGAATATAGTTATAAAATAATATGCTAGATGCATGAACTCACTGTGATTTAACTATTACAGAAACAGATGGCTATATCATATCTAGTTAAATATGCCTAGATATCGATATTATATCTACAATTTGCATTTTTCTGACTAAATCGCATGTATTTACATTGATATGATGCACATTTTATTGATTACAGTTTTTTTTCACCAAAACTACACACATTTTATACTGTGAAAACAAATATTAAGCTTCATCAATGGTTACTATTTCGTGAAACAGTTGTATTATTACATCATAAGCTTCAGCTCCTCAAAATAATGAATTAATGAATGAAGAAGGATTTCTTAACGCCATGTGATAACAGTGCCATTCCCACCAGCTGGTAGAAACAGGTACTGCTGAACAGTTGACTCTTTAAATACCCGACACAAACACTGCGCTAAGTGGAATGCGTGTGATGTATGTGCTAATTTTAAGGACTTGGATAAAAAAAATAAATGTCATACAACCTATTTTTATTTAAGTGCAACATTTTCCAAAAGATCAGGGGCTTTTGACACTACATCAGGGGCTTAAGCAGCATCTCATTTCTTAAAGGACGCGTTCTCTGTCCTTGTGGTCTCCTGAGTTCGTAATTCCGAGGACACCTGGTAAGACCGGTCTCCAGAAGAGCGCAAGTCTGTTCTCTGTGTTCTTGGAATTAAGAAACAGCCAAAGATAGAGACAATTCGGTGGATGGGGATGATTGAGAGGCCATGATCGTAAGGGTCGATGGAGGGATTTGCGTAGTTTGATGAAAGACAATAAACCTTAAGGCTCATATGTTGACTTTTATAAAAAAGTATAGGCTACTATAGCATATAACAATATTGTTGTTTACAAATGATATTGCATTAACTTGCATACATGTTTTATAAGCTCTAAAATTAAAGCATCAGTTTGGTGTAAAGTTATCATTTGTACCGTCCCGCAAATTAACAAATATGTGTTACACATTTAGGAACCGATCACAGTGAACATACTTTTCCATTCCAAAAACGCGAGGCGCACCACATTGCCTTTTTTGTTGACAAGAAAAAAAAGCACAGGGCACCTTTTATGCCACTAGGAAATGACAGAATCAGCTACTCTTTCTGCTAATTTCTCTTTTTCCCACACTCCTCGTCAGACAGGGAGAGGGGGTGGGACTGGAATACTGATTTCCAAAGAATGGAAATTTACTCTGAGACCGTCCCTGCCAACAATCAGCTCCTTTGAATTCCATGCAGTCACCATTATCCACCCCTTCTACATAAATGTGGTTGTCATCTACCGCCCACCGGGTACATTAGGTCACTTCTTAGATGAACTGGATGTTCTTCTCTCATCTTTTTCTAATTATGACACTCTCTTGTTGGTGCTAGGTGACTTCAACATTCACATTGTGAGACCTCAAGCTGCTGACTTTCAGACTCTGCTTGCCTCTTTTGACCTCAAAAGAGCACCTACTTCTGGTACCCACAAATCAGGTAATCAGCTAGACCTTATTTACACACGACACTGCTTCACTGATCAAACACTAGTAACTCCACTACAAATATCCAAACATTTCCTTCTGTCCTTCAACATCCACATTACTCCTGAGCCGCCACACTTCAACACTGGTTGCCTTTCGCAGAAACCTACGATCTCTCTCACCCAATAGACTATCCACCATTGTTTCAGACTCTCTTCCTCCATCTTGCAAACTCTCTGCACTTGATACGAACAGTGCCACTGATACACTCTGCTCCACACTAGCATCATGTCTAGACAGATTATGTCCTCTTGCATCAAGGCCAGCCCGTGCCAGTCCTCCTGCACCCTGGCTCTCGGATGCTCTTCGTGAGCTTCGCTCAAAACTTCGGGCTGCAGAGAGAATTTGGCGGAAAACTAAAAATCCTGCACAGCTCTTAACTTACCAAACACTTCTGTCTTCTTTCTCGGCTGAGGTTACTTCTGCAAAGCAGACATATTTCTGTCAAAAAATCAACAATGCCACTAATCCTCGCCTACTTTTCCTCCCTCCTCTATCCTCCTCCTCCACCCGCATCCTCCACACTTACTACTGATGACTTTGCTACATTCTTTTGCACCAAAGCTGCAAAAATCAGTGCTCAATTTACTGCACCTACAACAAACACGCAAGATACACCACCAACACTACACACACTCACCTCTTTTTCTCAGCTCTCTGAGTCTGAGGTGTCCAAACTTGTGCTATCTAGCCATGCAACCACCTGTCCACTCGATCCCATTCCCTCTCATCTCTTGCAAGCCATCTCTCCTGCAGTCATACCAACACTGACTCACATAATCAACACATCTCTTGACTCTGGTTTATTCCCCACTTCATTTAAACAGGCTAGGGTAACCCCACTGCTAAAGAAACCCAACCTGGACCATACGCTACTTGAAAACTACAGACCAGTATCCCTGCTTCCATTCATGTCCAAGATTCTGGAGAAAGTAAGAAAGGCTTTAAGAAAGGCCACTCAACTGACACTGCCCTGCTCTCGGTCGTGGAGGATCTTAGACTGGCTTAAGCAGACTCTAAATCATCAGTCCTCATCTTGCTGGATTTGTCAACTGCTTTTGACACTGTAAACCACCAGATCCTGCTATCTACGCTCGAGTCACTGGGCGTTGCGGGCACTGTTATACAATGGTTCAGATCTTACCTCTCTGACAGGTCATTCAGGGTGTCTAAGAGGGGAGAGGTGTCCAACCTACAGCATCTAAACACTGGGGTACCTCAAGGCTCTGTTCTTGGGCCACTTCTCTTCTCCATCTACACGTCATCTCTAGGACCAGTCATCCAGAGACATGGATTCTCCTACCACTGCTATGCTGATGACACCCAGCTATACCTCTCTTTTCATCCTGATGATCCCTCGGTTCCAGCTCGTATCTCAGCCTGCCTGTTGGATATTTCACACTGGATGAAAGATCATCATCTTCAGCTTAACTGAGCGAAAATGGAAAAACTTGTAGTTTCTGCCAACCCGACTCTACACCATAACTTCTCAATCCAGATGGATGGGGCAACCATTACTGCATCCAAAATGGTAAAAAGCCTTGAAGTAACGATTGATGACCAACTAAACTTCTCTGACCACATTTCTAGAACTGCTCGATCGTGCAGATTCGCACTCTATTACATCAAAAAGATCCCACCCTTCCTATCTGAACATGCAGCTTAACTCCTTGTTCAAGCTCTTGTTCTCTCCAGACTGGATTACTGCAACTCTCTACTAGCCGGGCTTCCAGCTAACTCTATCAAGCCTCTTCAGCTGCTCCAGAACGCAGCAGCACGAGTGGTCTTTAATGAACCTAAAAGAGCACATGTCACTCAGCTGCTCATCCGTTTGCACTGGCTGCCAGTTGCTGCTCGCATCAAATTCAAAGCTCTGATGTTTGCTTACAAAGCGACTTCTGGCTGCGCCCCTTTTTATCTGCTCTCACTTCTGCAGATGTATGTGCCCTCCAGAAACTTACGTTCTGTGAATGAACGTCGCCTCGTGGTTCCATCCCAAAGAGGGAAGAAATCACTTTCCCAAACTCTCGCGTTCAATCTGCCCAGTTGGTGGAATGAACTCCCTAACTGCATCAGAACGGCAGAGTAACTCACTGTCTTCAAGAAACGACTAAAACTCAACTATTTAGTCTCCACTTTACTTCCTAATCTGCAATTGCCTCTCTGGATATACCACTAACTGTACTAAAAAAAAAAAAAAAATTACTAATACTTTCCTTCTTAGACTTTACAGACCTGAGACTTGCCAACAGCACTTATTCATTGTTGCTCTTATAGTTGTGTAAGTTGCTTCCTTGTCCTCATTTGTAAGTCGCTTTGGATAAAAGCGTCTGCTAAATGACTAAATGTAATGTAATGTAATGACCCATTGCCTGCCTTATCACTTATGCCTTTTGGATTCCCCCTGTGTATGTTGAAAGGTTTGGACTGCTTCTCTGGTTTTGACACTTTGCCTGTTTTCACGTTTCTGTCTCTGTGTAAGCCGTTCATTAAACTTCTGCAAATGGATTCTAACGACGCCTCAGCATCTTCATTACATTAAATAACAAACATGCAATAAAATGTAAGGCAGCTGTGGTTCATATACATTCATGTGACATGTTTGTGACAAAGTTAGTTTTGATTGATTAGTATGTTTTAATTCATTATTAGTTTGCATTAATAATGTTGATTTTAACCCTCTGGGGTCGAAGACCGCGTATACGCGTTTTGACCTGTGGTGTCGTCAAACTGCTGAAATGAACTTAAATTAGACTTTCAGTTTTGATTGTACAGATAAGATCAATACATCAATCGAATCTGTTATGTGTCTACTTTTTGTTGTGTACACTCACAACAACAACAAACATGTGTGCTTTTGCAAAATAAGGAAAACAAACAGTGTAGGCATTCTGTCTTTTCTCTCTCTGTGAATTGCTTTTAGAAACGTGTCGGTAAAACGCACTAAAACTCCGCGAATAGAAAACGCACACAGATGAGACATGTATTTCTAGAAAGCTTAAATTGTCTACTTTTAAACGCAGCTATGCATGTTAAAAACAAATATTGCTTGATAAAGTAATCAGTATGAAATCAACGCTATGTCTAGTTTCTCGGTCTGATCTCATTAGTTTTAATGCGACCACGCCCACGAGGCATTTTTATTACAATCGTCTGAAGACGCGAGCAGACTGTGGTCGGAAAAACACGTCACTAAAATGAAAGGAAACTCGGCAAATAGTCAACAAAGATGATGATTTATGATATCTATATAAAGCTTGATATGTCTACTTCTGCATTAACCAACTCAAGTCAAAAACAAATGATCTCTTTTTATGTAATCTATATATATATAAGTATTATATATTATGATTGTAGCGAGGCAGAGGGAAAACAGCGACACAGTTGGATAAGTTTACAGACAAGTCCCCGGAGGGTGCTTTATTTACAAAGTGCAGGAGGTGTAAAAGGTGCTCTTCTTCAGTGTGAGGTGCTCTGGTGCTCCGGGAAGTAGGTGAAGGACAGTGAGTAGTCGGGTGTAGGATCGTCACGAGCTGGAGTCCGCTAAGGAGAGACAGAGAGACAAGCATTAGCACAGGGAGTCATTGAGAGAATGAAGCTCGTCTTCTCCTGGCGTAGGTTTGGCTTATATGCCTTTCTGTGTGATGACGTCCAGCTGTGAGCGATCCTGAGTTGATGATGGTCCAGCTGGGTTGAATTAGCGACCAGGGCGACGTGGCATGTGTGCGCTCGTTACATTCCCCCCCACCCCCCACCCCCCCCTGGGAGTCCTGCGGAGGAAAGGTAGAGTATTGAGAGGGGGGGTAGAATGTCTTGACAGACCTGCCCATCCTGACCAGAGCCTTGAGAGCCCGTCGGCGTTTCCGTGGGAGGCCCCGGCTCGATGTTGTACTGTGAAGTTGAAATCCTGGAGCGACAGGAACCACCTGGTGACTCGAGCGTTGTTGTTTTTAGCTGTAGCCATCCACTGTAATGGAGCGTGGTCGGTCACCAGGGTAAATCTTCTTCCAAGGAGATAATACCTGAGCTCCAGGATTGCCCACTTGATCGCCAGGGCCTCCTTTTCCACTGTTGCGTACCGGGTCTCTGCAGGGGTAAGCTTCCGACTCACGTACATGATGGGGTGTTCTTCATCGCCGTGGACCTGGGAGAGGACCGCGCCCAGGCCCGAGTCGGAAGCATCTGTTTGTAGAATGAAGGGGCAGCCGAAGTCAGGTGCGTGCAGTACCGGTGAGGATGTGAGGGCCGTCTTTAGGGCTCGGAACGCGTCATCCGCTTCTTTGTTCCATCTTATCCTCTCCGGCTGCCCCTTTCTGGTCAGGTCTGTCAGAGGGCTGGCTATGGATGAGAAATTAGGAATGAAACATCTATAGTAGCCCGCTAACCCCAGAAATGCACGTACCTGGGTCTTTGTGGTGGGTTGTGGAGTTTCTTGTAGTGCTTTGATCTTGTTCTGTTGTGGCTGTATGAGACCTCTACCAATGTGGAATCCGAGGTATTTGGCTTCTGCTAGACCCAGGTGGCATTTCTTGGGATTAGCTGTGAGCCCAGCCCTACGAAGATCAAGGAGCACCCTCCGTAACCGGGAAAGATGTTCCTCCCATGACTCGGAGTGGCTGATCAGGTCGTCGAGGTATGCTGCTGCATACGGCTAGTGGGGCCTCAGCAGGATGTCCATCATTCGCTGGAATGTGGCTGGGGCCCCGTGGAGCCCGAAGGGAAGAACCCGGTATTGCCAGTGCCCACCGGGAGTGGAGAAGGCAGTTTTCTCCTTGGTGCTTTCACTTAGTGGTAATTGCCAGTAGCCTTTGGTGAGGTCGATCGTGGATATGAATCGGGCTCCACCCAGCCGATCCAGCAGCTCGTCCACCCGAGGCATGGGGTACCCGTCAAACTTAAATATTTCGTTTAGCTTCCTGAAGTCGTTGCAGAAGTTGTTTTTTTAAACAAACATGCTGCTTAGGTATTATTGTAGCCCAACTTGTGCTGTTTACAGTGTTATTATGTGTGTACTAATAGCACTAATAGATTTGTTTCCATTTATTGAGTCTTACAGCAAATATTAAGTAAATGCAAACTGTTTTTCAAATAGACTAATAAAATCATAAGTGCTCTTATTATGTTTTCACTTTTGTTAATTGTTGCAGAAATGGCTTCACCTGAACATTGCAAAAGACGCGACAGCATTGAGGAACCCCCTTCTATGTGAGAAACTGTTATAATGGCTTATTGTGTTATGTTTGTTCATTCATGGACTTGATTCTGAAATGCAGAATGTGTGTATAATATGTGATGTTCACTGTTTAGAAGGCAACACTATTAAAATCATGTTAATTAAAACTTGTCTAGGAACATGTGTAGATATTAACTAATGTAACAAAATAAAAATGTTTGTATTCCAAAACAACTAACATTTAAAAACATGTCTTTTTCTAGAGCTGATGCGCTTGAAGAACTGAACAGACTTCATGACAACGCTTCATCTGGGTGTCGCGAGCATATAAAGAAAATGACTGGTCTTGTTAATGAGTTTGAAGAAGATTATAAACGTGCAACTCGTAACACGAGAACAGGAGAAATTGCAACAAGAATTGGAGAGTACGCCCTGATTACGGGAGTGACTTTAAGTATTTTTACTGCAGGGATTTCTGCAATTGTTGGTGGAATCATTTCTGCTACTGCCGCAGCTGGTGCAACTATCGCAGGTGCCGCAGGTGCCGTAGCTGCCGTAGCTGGTGGAATCATTGTTGCTATGGCACATTTTCAAAAACAACAGATAGAGAAGAACACAAGACAAAATTTTGAAAATCAGCTGACAGAGTTACAGAACAAAATCTACCCTGTGATTGATGTGCTGCAGAAACTATTTAATCTGACACAGAAAAAACTGAGAGACCCTTCAATATCAGAGCACAAAGCTAACATGATACGGGAATGTTTCTCCTGCTTTGAACAAATTCAACTCTTCAAGATAGATGACAATATAGGAGTCACCGCACCCATGTCTAAAGCTAAACATCTCAATGAACATTTCTCAAAGGTTTTTACTGAGATGAATTCCTTGCTTGAAATTCTAAAAGAGATTATTGAGGACGACATTGAGGATGACAAAGACAAGAATGAAGACACTGACAACAGACCTACAGACAAAGCATCCACAGGCAAAAAAGTAAATGAAAAAGAGTTTACCAAAAAAACTGAGACATTCATTGATGAAATGAACAAAGGAATTAATACATTAAAAAATACCATGAATGAAATTGACCAGATAAAAATTAGACTCTCACAGAGATTTAAATAAATGAGTAATGTGGATGAGACATTTTGTAAAAACCTAAAACTTAAATTCATAGAGAATGTATATGCTAACAGCATAATCAAAACATCTGTTTATATATTTTTTCAAATCATTCATTCATTCATTCATTCATTTTCTTGTCGGCTTAGTCCCTTTATTAATTCTGGGTCGTCACAGCGGAATGAACCGTCAACTTATCCAGCAAGTTTTTATGCAGCTGATGCTCTTCCAGCCGCAACCCATCTCTGGGAAACACACACACACACACACACACACACTCATACACACACACACTCATACACTATGGACAATTTAGTCTACCCAATTCACCTGTATACCGCATGTCTTTCGACTGTGGGGGAAACCGGAGTACCTGGAGGAAACCCACGCGAATGCGGAGAGAACATGCAAACTCCACACAGAAACGCCAACTGAGCCGAGACTCGAACCAGCGACCCAGCGATCTTCTTGCTGTAAGACGACAGCACTACCTACTGCGCCTTTGCTTCGCCCTTTTTCAAAACAACTAACCACATAATTAATAGATCAATATCAATCTGTTTTATACTTTTATTAGAAGGAAATAAACATGCCTTATGGATGTGATCAAAACATATGCAGATTTACAGTAAACATAATTTGTTTAAATTATCAATTAAACTGCACAACCTAAAATAAAATAATGCTCATTAAAGAAATGAGATGTCTCTCTATAGAACAAAAATAATTGAATTTGGCATTTATGAGGAAAAAGCTTGATTATGGATGTGACAGATGTGAAATTGGCACTTGTGTGACTTTGCTAAATCAAATAATATTGCTTAAAAATGTTGACAGAGACATTTTTTTGCAGTGCTATACACTGCCCACTGTTCAAGCCCACACAAACAATGTAAAAAGAGTTTTGCTAATTTGATAAATACTTAATTTCTTTCATGTCAGGGTGACGATAGCTTAGAATTGCTATTACCTGACAAAACAAAACAATATAATAGTTACAAACTGTTAAATCAAACCAAGTGATACAGAACAACAGCAAATATCAACACTGCAGATCAGCTGTTGTTACACAACTTTTTTTCCCCTACTCCACTCAAGTGTAAGTAAATAATTCTTCTCCAATTCAACAGATCAAATAGTTCAACAGCAAGTTCAGGACAAGACTTACAAAGGCCAAAATTCTCATGGGAAAATCTCTAAAACAACAGAACTTTAGTGACTAAATAATCATAGTGGATGTCTGAGTTTGTATTAAATGCTATAGTATGTTCATGTCATGATGTAATAACAAGATAAGAGTTGTAATCTATCTGTTTAACATCTTTTATGTCCTCCGACTAGAGATTAGCTGTTTCTAGAATTTCAGGTAACACTTTAGCTTAGGGCACAATTCACATTATTATCAAACCATTAGGGAACACCACTAGCTTATTGTTTACTAGCCTCTTATTTACATGTAAAGTTTATAAGTAAACTGTTTGGTTTAATATGTTGATGTATATATTTGTATATAATTAAAAAAAATGTTTCTTTCATAACTTACATGCCACTACCATGATAATTGGTTATTTACATGTTTGTACACTTCTGTCGTCATCTTAAAAGAGCCCACTCTCTATATAGAGTACATGGAGTTGTGGATTCAGACAGCAGTTCAGTTTCACACAATAGAAACTGTTTTTTTTTTATTTTTTTTTATAATGTGTAACATGAAATAAATACAAAACAAATTTATTTCTTCTCTTGTATAAACATGTACAGTATTCAAATGATGTCAATACTGCATATGATTATATATGATGTATATGACATTTCTACTAATGTTTTCAATAAAATGCTTTTTCATTAAAGTCTTTGTATATCCCTTGTTTATTCCCTTCATAGAATTTGCAACTGAGATAACTTCCACAGAAAACACAAAAAAATATATTTATAAACGAATAGGAAATGAATCCATATCCTGTTTATTTTGAACAACCTTAATTAAACAACTGTGTATTAATCAGTGAGCATGGTAATGCACTGGGCAGTCAGAAGCGCTAAATCAGAAATCAAAAAGTAATTTCATATTTACGCTCATTTACACCTGGTCATGTCAGTATGGATGTGGTGCATCAAATAGATAAACTACATCTAAAACACTCAGACATAATGAAAGTTCAAAGGACTGTTAATTTTATGTTGTAAAATTGTCAAGCACAGTCAAAAAACTGTAGAAGATACACTACAGTTTAAAGTTTTGGCACATCTGCCTGTACATGCACATGAACTTAATTAACATCTTAACACATAAGGTTTAATATTGAGATGGCCAATCTGCATTTACAGTATATGCAGCCTCAACTCTTCTGTGACAGCTTTTATTAGGTTAAGGAGCTTTATGGGCAATTCTTCAGGCACTGATTTTGAATAAGAAGGCCTGGTTCTCAGACTCTGCTCTAATTCACCGCAAAGTGTTTAGTGGGGTTGAGGTTAGGACTCTGTGCAGGTCAGTGCAGTTTCTCCACACTAAACTCACTAATTCATTTCTTTAGAGCGTACTCACACTAGGCTATCCGAACCGTGCCCAGGCCCGTTTCCCGGATCGTTTGAGAAGTGAGTGTGAGTGCGCTGAATCGGGCTCAGGCACGGTTCAATGGGCTTTGGCACGGTACGCTTGTGTGCGATTGCAAAACACACCTGAGCCCGAAACAGAAAGCAAGACGTGACTTTTAAGAGTCTGTTTCATATGGATTTAATAATCATTCTTACCATTAAATGAATGCAAACTGTCGTAGATTATTAAATACGCAAACCCCTCACTGCACCACAGCTGCACCTTCAGCAAACCTCCTCATTCCTGAAGCACGAGGACTTTAATTGTTTATGAGCGTTAAAAGCGTTCTGCTACTGCCGCAGCTGGTGCAACTATCGCAGGTGCCGCAGGTGCCGTAGCTGCCGTAGCTGGTGGAATCATTGTTGCTATGGCACATTTTCAAAAACAACAGATAGAGAAGAACACAAGACAAAATTTTGAAAATCAGCTGACAGAGTTACAGAACAAAATCTACCCTGTGATTGATGTGCTGCAGAAACTATTTAATCTGACACAGAAAAAACTGAGAGACCCTTCAATATCAGAGCACAAAGCTAACATGATACGGGAATGTTTCTCCTGCTTTGAACAAATTCAACTCTTCAAGATAGATGACAATATAGGAGTCACCGCACCCATGTCTAAAGCTAAACATCTCAATGAACATTTCTCAAAGGTTTTTACTGAGATGAATTCCTTGCTTGAAATTCTAAAAGAGATTATTGAGGACGACATTGAGGATGACAAAGACAAGAATGAAGACACTGACAACAGACCTACAGACAAAGCATCCACAGGCAAAAAAGTAAATGAAAAAGAGTTTACCAAAAAAACTGAGACATTCATTGATGAAATGAACAAAGGAATTAATACATTAAAAAATACCATGAATGAAACTGTCTTCTACAGTTTCTCCACACTAAACTCACTAATTCATTTCTTGTGTGCGATTGCAAAACACACCTGAGCCCGAAACAGAAAGCAAGACGTGACTTTTAAGAGTCTGTTTCATATGGATTTAATAATCATTCTTACCATTAAATGAATGCAAACTGTCGTAGATTATTAAATACGCAAACCCCTCACTGCACCACAGCTGCACCTTCAGCAAACCTCCTCATTCCTGAAGCACGAGGACTTTAATTGTTTATGAGCGTTAAAAGTGGCGGATCTGTTTGGTGAAATATTTGACTGCGTGTCACTGCATAACAAATGACTAAAACAATATAACTAGAGAAATATCCCCTGTGCTGAGCGAAAGCGCTTACTAAACAATGCAGCATCGATGACGTAAGCGTGCCCAGGCCCGAATGTAATGTGAGTGCGGGCCGTCGGGGGAGACGGGAGGGGGGACAAGAGCACTGCACTCTTGCTTGCCTGATTTGCTGGAATGTTCCATTTTAATAATTATGGCTTTGTATTATTTTTCGACATCTATATTAAGCTGTTTTAACACAATCTACATTGTAAAAAGCACTACAGACACAAGATTGAATTTAATTGTTAATAATACATTTATTCTAATAATTATTTAAATCATTTTAAAATAATATTTTATTCAAATGCTACTTGCAGTGGCTATTGTTCCAGTAAGGTACATGACTGTGTGATTTTCATTTAGTGTTTAATATAATCAAGTCCATGTATTGTTTAACATAGTCAAGCATACTTGAGCTCTGGAAAGGCAGTGTATAAACCAGTGGTGGGAGTAACGAATTACAACTACTCACGTTACTGTAATTAAGTACATTTTTGGTGTAATTGTACTTTCATGAGGAGAATTTTAAGCCTGTAATTTTACTTGTACTTAAGTACAAATTAAGCTGAGTAAACTACTTCGTTACTTTTAAAATCACAATCCGTTACAGAGTACTGTAAATAAATTAATATTTCAGCCACGCACTGACCAGCATTTCGGTAGCCAATAAAAAAAGCTGATCTTAACGGACCAATGAAAAGCCTGGTACATTATTTGAACCGAAAAACAAGTTCAGGCTACTGCAGATTTACGTGACCGTCATCATACCCAGATAGCAAAATACACTCGGGCCAGTTCCGGCTAGATTGTCGCCTGCCGGAGACTACCCCCTCGGCCCAACTTCGGCTGCCGGACTCGGGCCGGATGCCTGTGGACTCACTGCCCGATTCCGGCCCGAATCAAGCGGGCCAGATGCGGCGGCCGTAAGCGAGCCGACGCTGCGCATCCGCACCGGAATCGACGCGAGGGTAATGTGCGCTGCGGCCCGGAGCTGGCGCGACTCCGTATTTATACACCTTATAAAACCTTTTGGTGTTACATTGGTACTTGATATATGGTATTACAACCATTTGAATTTATATAACAGCAAACACAGGCTATAATGTAAACACAAAGTGTAAGCACTGCGTTTAACCTTTGAATAAAGTGCAAACTGCATACATATTCTGTAACGAAAATAATCAGACAAATGACAAAATAAATAAATGTTAAACGTTTATTGATTGCATGAAAAAAAATAGTACTAATATTTTATAAATAATTTTGTAGTGCACAAGAATATCAATATAAAAACAACAATAAAACACAATAAAGACACACAGAAAGATTTAAACAAAAAAT